TTTTTTTACAATTTTCAGGTCTTTGTGTTGATTGAGAAGCTATTCTATTTTGTTAAGAAAGTTGAAAAAAAAAAAGAGGCTCGTGCCTTTGTAAAGAAACAAAATAAAGTTTGTACTTGGTTTTTTAGAAGCTYGGTGCCCATGTTACCTTTGTGGGGACAGGGATGGGTTTCACCCTGATGGACACTGGTCCCTCTGGAGGCTTCTGGGGAGGCAGGAAGCAAAGGCAGAAGATGCTGGCCCTGCTGAGGGTTCCCCCTGAGCAGCCAGGCTGGATTTAAAGGCTCAGCCGTGGTGGTGCTGCCCACACGTCCTGAGCACATCAGGGCACAGCTCAGCACTGAGGGAGCTGGGGGGACATTRTGCTGATTTGAATGAGGCCACATAGCTGAGGGGGGCTGGGGTCAGAYTTTGGGGATGTCCCTGGGCCTGGCTGGGAATCCATTCTCTCCATGGAGAGAGACTCATGACTCAGTTGGGGTGGGGGCACTCATCTCTCTCCATGGTTTTTGGGGGGAGCCATTCCTCTTTTCCCGTGGGACATCCACCTCTCAGCATCCTCCCATGGCTGTGGGTCTGTCCAGCCAAAGGGTGGCTCCTGCCTGTGCCCAGCCATCCGTCCCTCGCCCCCAGTCTCCCCTTCCCACTCCCTCATCTCGGGTTCCGGGGCTCCCCCTGCTCCCTCACTTGGGGCACTGTTACTTTCCTACCAGTTTGGCCCCCTTCCCCGAGAAAAACATGGATCACAGACCCCCCCCAAAAGTGACTCCTGCAGTGATGGAACCCAGGGCCGTGGCCAGGCTTTGGGGACAGCGCTGGGTGGCTGTTCCCTGGCACCATCAGGAGCTGGTGACACTGTGCTCTGTGCCACACTGCCAATGCAGTGCAATGGGGACACCATCAGGGTGGAAGGAACATGTCCTGTTTCCTTTGGTGTGTATGGCATTGTCTGCAGCTGGTGACCTGTGGTGGCTTGAGGGGACATCACATCAGCACAGGGCACAGTGCTTGGGGACATCCACCCTTGGGGACAGGTGGGGACACGGCAGTGCCATGATAGCCAGCTCTCCCTGTCCACACAATCCTGCTGCAGCCCAAAAGGAGCCCCAGTGTCCCACACCAGCAGGATTCTGGGGTGGGGATGGCGCCCACAACGGAGACAGAGGAATCCTGCAGGAATTTATTTTAAAAACGGGAGAGAGGCACCCATTTCTCCTGTGACTGGCRTGGGGACAGTGACCCCGCATGAGCAGTGCCAGCCGGGGACCCCATGCCAGGATGTGTCCCGTGCCTTGGCGTCCCTGGCGCGAGCCATTGCCAGCGCTGCTGCCGTGTCCCATCCCTGTCCCTGTCGCCATCCCCAGGGCCCCTGGGAACGGAAGAGCGGCGGCGGCAGCATCTGTGCGGGCAGCTGCCTGCCCTGCCTGCCCTGCCCCGCGCCGCCGCCGTATAAATAGAGGCAGCGAGCGGCAGGGAGCTCCTGGCAGCCACCATGAAGGGCCTCAACCTGCTCTGCTGCTGCGTGGCCTCGCTGCTGCTCCTCAGCACCGCAGGTACGGCCCCACGCCGGGCTGGGGACACCCCAGGGGGCTCTGGGTGCCCGGGGGGCTGTGGCTGCTGGCGGGGCTCTGGGGTCCCCACGGGGCTGGGGGTGTCCTTGGGGCTGTGGGGACTCTGCGGGGTTGTGGGTGCCTCGGGGGCTGTGGGTGCCCAGGCTTATGGGGTCCCATGGGGCAGTGGGTGCCATTGGGGCTGTGGGAACCCCACGGGGCTGTCAGATCCCCATGGGGCTGGGGGTCCCTGCAGGGCTGTGGGTGCCTGCAGGGCTATGGGGGTCCCCACAGGGCTGCAGGTCTCTGTAGGGCTGTGGGCTCCTACAGAGCAGTGGGGACCCCAGGGGGCTGTGGGATCCCTACAGGGCTGTGTGTCACCACAGGCTGCAGGTGTTTATGGAGTTGTGGGGACCCCCACAGAGCTGCAGGTGCCCATTGGGCGGTGAATGTCCGTGGGGCAGTAGGTGCCTGTGGGGCTATGAGCACCTTTGAGACTCTGGGTGCCTGTAGGGCTGCAGGTTCCTGTGGGTCTGTGGGTGCTCAAGGGGTTGGGGTGCCTTTGGGCTGGGGGTGTCTGTGGGAGCCCTGCAGGTAGAACTGTGGGTGCCTGTGGGACTCAGAGTGCTGGACAGAGAGCTAAGCCCTGGAGCAGGACAGGATGGCAGGGGTGCAGTGGTCCGGTCTCCCCAGCAGCTTTTCCAGGGCTGCAGAGTCACCCCCAAATGTGCAGGGAAACGTGTTGGGGGGCTGTGGATAGGTGGGGATGGTGGGGGGCGCAGACTGGGATCCTTTTTACAGAGTCAGGATGGGCACAGGGGCCGCGCTGCCGCTGACATGCCCGGGGTCATTGTCACCTGTGGCTGCCGTGGTGCGCTGATTTTGGACTGTGAGATCTTGGGGGGAGGAGAGGGGGGGGCTGCCAGGGCGCTGGGGATCTCTGAGCACCCCAGATCCCCTTGCCCGGGCTGTCCCATCCCCACCGAGCGCCCCGCTGCCCAGCCGGGTGTCCCCGGGGCGGCGCGGCCGGGTGTATCGCTGGTACCCTTGCTTGCCCTTGAGTTAATTCGGGCCGGTTCTCTGGCTGGCCGGGCTCCGGCGGCCGCGCAGCCGGGAGGGGGGCGGCTAAGAATGGAAACAGCCGTGTAAGGGGACACTGAGGCCCGGCTGCCCCCCCAGCCCGCGCCGCCGCGGCCCCGCAGCACCCGCAGCTGCCGCCTGCCAGCACCGGCACCCCCGGCCCCGCCGAGTTTTGGCCTTTTAAGGACATCTCGGGTCATTCTCGGCAATGAATGGGTTTGGGGGCCGGMGCCACACCCCGACACAGGTGGGGTGATCTCCATGTGTGTGGATGGAGGTTGGAAAGGTGTTCTGTGGGCACGGCTGTGGCTGGTGCCRCTCCAAGTGGGGCTGGTGGCCTTGTGGGACATCAGAGGATTGTCACCGTGGTGGGTGACCAAGAGCCCAGGTGCTGCTTTTGCTGAGGCTGGCATGGCACAGGACTGGGATCCCCCATCTCAGAGGAGGCTCTGGGGCCAGGAGGTACATGGGGGTCCTGCAGCCCCAGGACCAGCCCTGAAGTGTCTCCTAAATTCCCACCTGTTTATTGAGGGTCGTGTATTTCAGTACTGTAGGTTTCCAAAAAAGCCCTAAGCAGAGGCACGTCTCCTGCCCGTGCTTTTGCTCCTCAGGGACCAGYGGGATTTGCAGGATGAGTTTTACTTTTCCTTTGGCGCCAAGCTGAGCTCTCAGCCTCAGCTCTTTTGGGGTGCAGAAAAAGGCTTGGAGGGTGTGTTTTTTTCCATTTTTGGGACATGGCTTCCCACTCAACCCCTGCTGGTGTCTGTGGGGCTCTGGGGATCATGCGGGGCTGTGGAGCTGCAGGTGCCCTTGGAGAGAGAAGGGGGTAGGAGTCCAGTGGAGAAGCAGGGGCTTCATTGAAACATCATGGCAAGGTGTGGTCCTTGGGGTTTGGTGGCACCTGGGACCGCCAGGACTCTGCCACTATTCCCAGAGGTCAGGGGTGGGAATTGCCCTGTGCCTGCGCTCTTACAGCTGCAGCCAAAGCAGCTCATGGCACACATGGCCAGGGCTGGTAAAACTCCACRGTGCTGCTGGCAGGGACCAGCACCCATCGTGGGGCTGGGCAGTGGCTCATGGTGAGGGCACTCAGCCGCTGCTCCATCTGCTCCTGCCCAGGGGAAGGTCTCCTTTTCCCACCTCACATCTCGTGCAGAGCCCAGCCAGCCCCTCCAGGCTTGGGTGGCCCCTGTGGCTACCAGGAATGGGCCATGGAGATGCTGGCAGGGCAGTGCCCAGCACTGTGCTCAGCAGCTTCGCCCTGGGGAGCCCTTGGCCCTGCAGCTATTATAGATTTGCGTGGGAAGGAAATTCCAGGCCATGCCATTACTGCCTCTGAGCTGAGAGAGGGCTTGGGGAAAGCCCTGGTGCAATGGTGTCCTCCTGCAAGGCACTGCAGGGCTGGCACCGACCCTTCCTGGTGACAGCACGGACCTTCTGGGAGTCCTCATCCTGCCTCATCSTGGAAGGTGTCACCTCAGGGTGAGCTCCATCACCATGTTTCATGGCATCTTGGGGTGTTACTCATCTCCCATATTGTGTCACCTTGGAATGTGTCACTTTAGGGTGGGCTCCACCTCCCAGGTCAGAATACCTTGGCAGTGGGACCGTGACACCTAATGTAGGCTCAGGGCTCCAGGCACAGCACCCATGGGGACGACCCCCCGACCATCCCAGGCCAATGCCCCCCACAGTGACCAGAGAGGGGACCCCTGTGTCCCACTGACAGGGCAGAGTGGCTGTGCTGTGACACCCTCTCCATCAGCCATCCTTGTCCCGCTGGGTAGGAGACATCCAGCTGGACAGGAAGGCCAGGACACCTCGCTTGTGCATGGTCCTGRTGGCACAGGGGCACCAGCAGGTCTGTGGGATGGCACCAGGCTGGCAGGGCTGTGTCATGCCCAGGGACAGCACTCTTGCCACCTTCCCACCATGACCCACTCGCCAAGCCGGTGAAATCCCAGCCTGGCCAATGGGTCAGGGTGACCAAATTCCAGCTGGAATTGCCCRTTCCCTGGGCACTCAGGAATAGCAGCAGCCCCGGGGCTGTGCAGGACTCCACRGAGCTATTTCCAGCCCACAGGGACATTTCCCTTGTAAGTGACAGCTGGAGGGAGCCGTGAGCTCCTGTGCCYGTAGGGGCTGCAGGAGGGGCAGGGGAGGCTCTGGCCGGGCACTGTGAGCCAGGACGGGGTGTTGGCAGTGGCAGAATGGCCCCAATGCCAGCTGGGCACATGGCACRACCCTTGGGGTCACCCAGCCCTGGGGACGGCATGGAAAAGGGCTTGGAGCTGTGTGACTCTGTCCCTGCCTGGGGTCCCCAGTGCTGCCAGGTCAGACCCCAGGGCTGGGCACCCCTGCTTGGCAGGGCCAGGCAGCGTCTGCCCTGACATTCCCTTGSATTTGAGGATCTTGTGGGACATCGGGCACTAGAATCCAGGCTAGCAAGTACAAGAGGTGACTGGGTGACCAGGAATACTTGGGATGACCCAAGGAGGAAGGGGAGCCAGGGAGTCTCATCCTGAGTGGACAGAGGATGTCCCTCAGGGACGTCCCTGGGGTGAGCTGGTGAAGCGTCCCATGGCTGGAGGCCAGGGGATGGGAACAGCGGGACCTCTTGGATGTCCTTCCTCTGGGAGAAGGGACTTTCCCAGCCCCAGCCATGCCTCAGCCTGTCCCTTGGGTCCCCCAGCACTCCCCCAAGCTGCAAGGGACACTGCGGGTGGATGTTCCTCGATGTGCAGTGTGACATCTGCCTGTGCCAAAGTACCTGATGTTTCCTGGCTGTSTGCTCACTGATGGACTCAGATCTCCTCAGCCAGGAAGCAGCAGGTGCTTCATCTCCCACCTTTCTCATCTTCGTGTCTTCTGCAAGCCAGGGGTTCAGGGTTCCTGACAGACCTTTAGGGTGGGGAGACAGTGGAATAAACACCAAAAAAAAAACTGCGGCAGTTATTCCCTGTTCTCATCTCTATTTAGAGAGCTCCAATCCTTTTAAAATTCCTTTGGTAGAACCTGGTGAGGTTTCTTTACCATTTAATAATAAAAATATCATATTTTTATTATTAAAAATAGATGTTCTATCCAATATCTTATAGGAATCAAATCACTACATAACTTTTCTAAACTAAACCTAAAATCTTTTGTACAAATGAGGTCAAGTTARTTTGATAAAGCTGTTTCCTAGACCTCCCTCCACATTAAGAACCAGGACTGTATTTGCTTTATGTTCAAGTTTTGGGATTATGAAGTCTCTGGGATGTGATCATGTGCCTGGGCATCCTGRGTTTTGGGGTGCACAAGGGAGAGACACCCCCACCCTCAGCCTCATCCTTGTGCTTGTGTCCTCTGGGCTGCTTGAGGGCGGGACACTTGCCTCTGAAGGTGTTGGCCTGGTTGACTCCAGGCTGGAGCTGGAGCTGGAGCTGGAGCTGGAGCTGGAGCTGGAGCTGGAGCTGGAGCTGGAGATGGAGATGGAGATGGAGATGGAGATGGAGATGGAGATGGAGATGGAGATGGAGATGGAGCTAGAGATGGAGATGGAGATGGAGATGGGCTCCCACCTGCTCTGAGTCCTCAGAGCTCAGGCAGGGCCACGAGCTGGAGGAGCACGAGGAGGATGGCTCTGAGTGCAGGCCATGGGGACCCCACAGAGTCTGGACRGCAGGGACATCACCATGAAATGGGGTTTCCCAGGAAAGGAGGGGTTTGCAGCAGGTCCAGCTGGAAAGTCCTGGGAATTCCCTAACAGCTTCTTTGTGTCCACTCATTTTCCATTAAGTTTTAAAGGGCTTTGCCAGAATAAAGGCAGGGCTGGCTGTTTGGGATACGAGGTCCCGCCAAGACCCCCTTGGGAGGACAGGAGGGGCACAGGACTTGCAGGAGCCAGTGSATAATACCCCAGGGAAGCAGGGATTGGGATCCGGGCAGGGGAAGGGGGCGTGTGAAAAGTCATCCCCGCAGCCCTGCCATGGCCGGCCCCACGCTCAGGGCTCCGATTTCTGCTGRAGGGGGAGAGTGTCCCTCCAGGGCCACCTGTGCCCATCTGTCCCTTCTCCCCATCCTCCTGGAGGATCCGTTTTGCCCTCAGGTCGTTGCCGTTCGGTTCGTRCCGGTGCAGAGATGGAGGGGACACCGTGATGTTCAGCCATGCCCCTCCTTCCCGCACAGGAAGGAGCTCCTGGGTGCAAAGCACCCACGCCATCCTGTGGCACCCAGAACCGCGCCGTGGGCTCTCCACCCTCGCTGTCACCACCTGGGAAAGGGTGTCCCGGCATAAGACAGAGTGGCAGGGGCACTGCAAGCCAGGGACCCGCAGGGAGGTCAAGTCCCCGAGGGGAAAAGGGCGAGGTCTCCCCTCCGATGCCACCCATCTGCTTGGCACAATGCAAGGTGTGAACACGGGGAGCCCCGGTGTCACTTTACACCGTGGCTGTCCCCTCCCGGAGCCCACAGGGGGCCCCAGGTACGGACGTCACCCTTGGCTGGCAGCGGGGCGAGGGGCTGGGGCCAGCGGCCGAGGGGGCGGGGGATCAGCGGGGCTGCTCCTCCCGATCCCCGGTACAGTTGCTSTGCCGTATTTTTAGCCTCCCAGGGTGTTAAGCCCGTAACCTTCGGCCCATTTTGCGCTCATCGGCCGGCCATGTGCGGGTCAGCACAATTCACCATGGATCGGGAGACCATGTAGGGAAACAGGGAGAAGGAGGTGGAGAGGGGATAGGAACTTTGTGGAAGACCTTGAAGGTCACAGGAAATAAAGCCTGTCACCGGCACACCAGCAGGGATATCCCCATGSCAGCGCCTGGGGGATATTTCCCTTTTTCCACGAGAGATGGCTCATGGTGGGTACTGGCATTGCCGTTGTGCCTGGCCATGGTGGCTGGAAGCCCATCTGGGTCAGAGGGGACACACAGAGCCCAGACAAAGCCCTTAGGACTCTCAGGGTCTCCTCTGCCTGATCCTGTCCTCCTCCTTTGCTTTGACCCTTGCTCCTCTCCCAGCCTTCCAGGTCACTATTTTGGGGCCAAACTGAGAATGTCAGCTGAGGGGACCCTCCAGTGACCCAGGCTGGTTCCCAGGCCACCAGGGCAGGGAGGGGCAGGTTGGCCCCCAGCTACTTAGGGCTTTATAGGTCAAATGTAGAAATTCCCCTTCAAGCAGCTCCTGCAGGGACCCAGAGGTCCCGCAGGAAGGTGACCTGAAGGGCAGGAGCGGGAGGGAGGAGGGTGGGAATTGCCCACAACTGCTTCCCTCCATCTGGGAGCTGAACTGGGAGCCTGGAGGCACCTGTGAGCCATGTGCCAGCAGAGGACAGGGAGGTCAGTGAGGCCAGAGCAAGGGTGACCTGTGYATCCGGTTCAGGCAGGGCTCGGGGCTGGGACAGCGGCTGCAGCTCTGCTGTGCCAGGGAACTGAGAGCCACTGACAACGAGGGCAGACTGGGGTCAGCCTCTCCTTCCCACTGCCCGCTGCTGGCATGCCATGAGCCTCCCATTGCAGCCTGATACCGGCTCACAGCCCCACCAGCTCTGGCACTGTGGAGACATAACCACCCTCCCGGCATACCCCGACACGGCAAACTGGGTTGAGAGGTTTGGGGCTGGCACCGCGCTGACCCCAGCCCTGCTCCTCCTGTGCCAAGCCCAGCGAGCTCCAGCTTTGCCAAGGTCCAGCTGGACACAGCCCTGTGGCTCCCACACGGAGCCGGAGTGGAGCTGCCCATGCCCAGGGCTGCCCGCTCTCCTCCTGCAGCCTGGGTGGAGGTGGCCTTTTTTCCTGCTTGGCATCTGCTTGCCAGCTGGAGTACAAAGGAATTATTTTCCTCTGAAACGCTCCCCTGGCACGAGACGTTTGGGGGGATTATTTAGACTAGCAGCAACTGTTTGTAACGGAGACAGTATAGCCATGATCTTTTATTTTTGGCACCCGCTGACTGATGTTAAATTGCAGTTGGAGCCTATGGAAAATACGGATGGATTCTCCTGGGCCACAGAACACGCTCATTGTGTCCCCAGCAGCCGCACGGCATGGCACATGCTTTCCCAATGAAGGGACACTCACAATAAATAGCTCCCAAGCCCCGTGGCCAGGGTTAGGCCCTGCCTGTGGAAGGCAGGATCCCACGCTGGGCAGCCCTTCCTGCCAGAAAGCCCCTTCCACCTCCTTCTTCTTACCCACCACCCACAATGGCTGGTGTGATGGTCTCTCCAATCAGGGCTGGGGAAAGACCCTTTTAACCTGCCAAGTGCCCACAGACCTTCAAAAATTGCTATTTTTACTCCTTTCTCCATTTTTAGGGCAGCTTTGCCGCCTTCCTGCAGCGCTTTGGGGTGGACAGCAACCCCAGTGCCAGGCAGCCTCAGCCGGTGGAGCCGTAGAGCCCCTGCCAGCTCCGCTTTGCCCCCCACAAACACATCTTTGCACCCAACTTCTTGCGACAGGGACAGAAAATGGAGCTGGAGAAGGCTTAGGGAAGTGTAACCCTCTTGGTACCAGCCATGACTCGTCCCTCAGGGCCCTGGCGGGTGCCTCGGTGGCCGCGTGCCAGCGCGGGTGGGACTGACCGAGCTGTTCTCATCGTTTAGAGCCGCGCGCCCCCGGCACGGGCCATGCTGACGCTGCTGCCGAGAGCCCCCTGCCAGCCACGGAGCCCCGGCTGGAGGAGAAGGCAGCTGATGGCAGCTCTGAGGAGGAGCAAGATGGTGGCACCGCCAACACCTCTGTGCCCGGCACCACCGAGGAGGGACGTGGAGAGGGGGAGGAAGAGCCAGTGGGCGGCCTGAGCGGGGGCCTGGGGCCAGGGGACAGCCGGACAGAGGAGACCAGCGAGGAGCAGGGCCAGGAAGAACAGAGCTCAGGGGAGGATTCCACGGCAGCTCATCATGGAGGGAACCATGGGCCTGGCACACAAGGTGACATCCATGCCCAGAAGGATGAGGAGGCTGGCGTGGAGAAAGGARGCTCTGTGGAGGAAGGGCAGCTTGGGGAAGAGCAAACAGAGGAGTCAAGAGCATCTGCTCCTGAGGGAGAGGAGGAAAGGGATGAGCAGAGCTCAGAGGAAGATGAGCAGGGAGAGTCTGAGGAAGGTGAACATGGGGAGTCTGAGGAAGATGGAGGCAAGGAAGAGTCTGAGGAGGAGGAGGAGCAGGAGGAGCAGGAGGAGGAGGAGGAGGAGGAGGGAGAGTCTGAGGAGGAGGGAGAGTCTGAGGAAGATGGTGATGGGCCAGAGAATGAAGCTGAGGAGGAGGACAAGGAAGCAGCCAGCACTTTTAACAAAAAGAGCCACAGCAAACCAGCAGCTGCTGGCACAGAAGAAACCAGGAATGGCCCTGCCAGCTGCCATCAGCCACCCTGTGGGGATGCAGCAGAAGACCCACCAGCAGCAGAAGATCCTCCAGCAGCAGAAGACCCACTGACAGCAGTGCAAGATCCACCAGCAGTGGAAGACCCAYCAGCAAAAGAAGATCCACCAGCGGTGGAAGACCCACCAGCAAAAGAAGATCCACCAGCAGCTGAAGACCCACCAACGGGGGTGGAAGACCCCCCAGCAGCAGCAGACCCCCCTGCAGACAAGCCCCCATTGGCAGAAACAGAGGTCCCCAGCACCTCCCCAGCCAGCACCGAGCCCCGGCACAGGCAGATAGGTTGGAGTCTTTTCTTGTGGGTGTGCTGTAGCGGCGAGAGTGACCTCCCATCAACGCGGCGGAGCTGAGCTTGGCACGTTAAACCTTGCCTAGTGCATGGCCCTCTCYTAACGCTTGTGCTTCCCCACCGCCCCTAACTACGCTCTGCAGCAGGATGCCCATCATGCAGGCGCTCAGCACGGCAGTGCCAAAATCGGCTGACGTTCCCCTTACTCCACTCCAAGTCCATGATTGCTCCTCAGGGATGTGGATAAAACTTTTAACCTCCAGGCCCCTTTCAGCACTTGCAGATCTCTTAAAGACTCTTTATCCACTGCCCACAGAGTCCTCCAGGCCCGTGGCTCACACAGGGGCAGGATGCTCCCAGGATGGTGGGGCTCCTCTCCACCAGTTCTTGGCTCGTAGGGAAGGTRTGAAGAGCTAATCCAGGCCAAAGAGCTGCTGATGCACCAGCCCTGCTCAATCAGTGAAAGGCTAACTAAGGGAAAGGGACACCCCCCACCACGATTTCCTAGAAATATTTGTAGACTTTGGCCCACAGGTTGGGCAGCGACCTTCAGACCCAGATTAGTGTTTTTGTTGTTTTCATCTGTAACGTCCCAGCTCACAAAGCCTCCCATTTTTCCCAAAGGGAAAACCCAGTTTGGTCTCTGTGGCTTCACTTGGCAAGTCAAAAGGTCTTCCTCAGCCCAACACTCAGTAGATGCTCAACACAGTCTCAGGGCTTAGTGGTGCCCTGCTTGACCCCGGTGTCCMCAGATCTGTCTCCAAACTCCTGCTAAAGTTCAACCCAGCTCCCCTTATCAAAAAGCTCTTGGAGGCTCCTGGTGTGCCAGCACCTCCATAGCAAGGACACCTCTGTCTCCCTGTTTTGGGAACACCGGGGTGCCCTYCCCCAGTGGAGGCAGCTGCCTCATGCTCCCAATACCTGGTGCAGAGCCATGAGGGACCAGCACAGTGCAGAGGGCTCCAGAGGGATATGGAGGCAGAGGTGGCAGAACTGGGAGGGAACAACCGCGCTGGCAAAGGTAGGGCAGCCAGGGTGGGTCAGGCTGGCCTGTTCACCCAGAGCCAGAGCCAGAGCCAGCCCCAGCCTTGGCACCCCTATCTCCAGCTCACCGTGTAGTTCTTGAGGGGAGTGGGCAGACAGAGGTGGCAGCACAAAGCCTGCACTCGAGGCCGAGCCCCCTGGAGCTGCAGCTGCCGGGGGAAGCACTGGGGCCCCGTTGGGCAGCAGCTGCTGCGTGCGCTCGAGCTACATCCTAACMCTGGGAGCCCCTTCAAGGCACATCCTTCGCATTCCCGCGAGCAGCCTGCCCCTCCTCGGAGCCAAGCAGTTGCCCATGACGCTTCCCCCAGCAGCCACAGCCCAGGCAGCCTCCGGGGGGGCCCTGTGCAAAAGGGAAAGCACATGGTGTGCCAAGGGGCATGGCGTCTCTGCAGGCTCGGGGTGCGTGACCCCCATGCCCTCTCCCTGGCAGTCGCTTGTGTGAGCTCCTGTGTGGGCTCCCCCCTCCAGCAGTAACAGGTCTCCTTGCTTTCTCCTCCAGAAGAGGTTGAAGATGCCAGCGAGCCAATCAAGCGTGACCGGTCCCACTTGGAGAACACCCTCAAGCTGAACGAGGAAAAACCTGCCGATGATGTCTCAGGTGAGAGGGCCATGCATGCTCTGCCCTGTATGGACAGGATTTTCCTTCCCTTATGTCTGGATTTTAACCTTGCCTCTTGTTGGTCTGGGAATGCCAGATGTTMAATAACAGCCCTTTGGCTCCTCTTGGGTTAACATATTTTAGGTATTCTAAAGACATCTCCGAGGGCATACAAGAATTAGGAGGGTAGAGGCTGGAAGATGCAGATGGTGAATCAGGCACATCCCTGCTCAAATAAACCTGGAGCAACTTGTAACAAAGAGTTGGGATTTTTATTCTAGTTATATATTGGGTTTTGCTGCTCTAAGGCTCGCTTCTGCTGGCCCCATGGGAAGTTTGGGCTGGAAAGGCAGTGGTAAGAGACACTGTGGAAAAACCTCCTCCTTTTACTATCAAGCAGTTCAAAGGCCATGCCAAGGGGCCCTGGCACCATGGTGGAGGGCTTTCTAGGATCGTGAGTTTCGAGTGCTAAACAGCAGTTAGGAAGGATGCTCCTTCCATCAGCTGCTGGGAGCAGATAGGGACAGTGACCAGTGGGAAACATTACCAGGGGAGAGGCATCATTCCAGCTAGGGTTGGAAGAGATGGTAAAGCCCGTCGCATCCCACTCCTCCACCATGAGCAGGACACTTTCCATTAGACCAAGTTACTCCAAGCCTTGTCCAACCTGGCCCTGGATACTTCCAGGGATGGGGCAGCCACAACCCCTCTGTGCAAAATGTGTGACTGTGATTAGTTTGGCCAAGATTTCAGCTGCAAGCCAAGGGCCTTGATCCACAGCTGGGCCACTCTCAGCACCWGCAGGGAGTGTTCCTCCTGCAGGGAATGCCCCCAGGAGGGGCTCACCCAGAGTGGTGGGGTTTGCCTCTCACCTGCCCCCATGCTTTGCCCCCCAGGAGTACTGCAGCGGCTGAGGAAGATCTACCACTCCTCCATCAAGCCCCTGGAACACTCCTACAGATACAACGAGCTGAGGCAGCATGAGATCACAGGTAATGCYATGGGCACTGGGGTCTCCGGCACCACCAGGTCCTTGGGATGCAGATAACAGCACAGGGAGCAGATTGTGGAAAGACTTGGATAGTGTGTCTTCCTTTGCAGCTTCCCAAGGAACCTATGAACACACTGGGCTTAGAGGCCATACCCTAGTGAACCCAGCAGCAGGAATTCCTGCCTCTGCCTCAGCCCATCTGCTGTCAGGGCCATCTGTGTGGGCTGAGCATTGAGCCCTGCCTGCCTCGGGTCCCCCACCTGCTCAACATCAATGCCCTGTACCCCTGCCAAGCAGAGATCATGGCCCAATGAAATAGGCTTGGCAAGGAAGCTCAGGACCTCTCCGGACTAGGGATGAGCTTCCTGGGGGTGGCTGGTGCTGGCATCCTTCCTGCTGGATACAGGACACAGCCATGTGGTGTAGGGTATTCCTCAARCTCCACAGCCTTCACTCGCCCTGAGACTAGGAGTTTCCAGCCCTTGGTGATCTCAGGCACACTGGATGGGGTGAGCAGGTCCCTGTGCCCCTAGCATGGCGTGGCTGAGACAGGCCACACGTGTCCTTCCAGAAGAGCAAAGTGCAGTCCTGTCCCAAGATGCTCACAAGCTACAGAAAGTTCTTGTGTCCCAGGAAACACAAGTAGCCTCATTTTCCAAACACAGATGGCTCAAACCCAAGCCCGACTTCCCTATTCACTGCGGTGATTCTCTGCACCTATTCAAGCACAGAAGCCAGGGCCAGATGTCTCCTGAGTATCCAGGGGATGCTGGAGTCCCTGCTGCCAGTGTCCCAGGGCTTCATGCCCACATCAGCCTCTTGCCAAAGTCCTGAATTGTCTTCCTTGTCTTGCACTGTGCCTGCCTCCCCAGGTGTCCAGGCTCACACCTCCTGGAGCCATGCCCTCCCTCCTGGTGAGGCAGGACCAGAATACACCCTCCCCACTGATCTTTCTTTTCCCACAGGCCCCACACTCAGCTGGGCAACCCACTGGGACACATCCCTGTAGAGCAGAACTTCTGCTTTCCAGGCACCCCCACTGCAACTCCTAAGCCTGGGTCGGACATTCSATAAGCAGACTTGGACATCTCCCTACCCAGACAGGCCATCTCCAGTGCAGAGCCAGTAGGGAACACAGGGAAGTTACCTTGGGGAGGGTAACTAAGGATCACAACAACATCCTGACTGTCACCCCATGGCTGCTGGTCTGTCCCCAGGCAATACCCCGACCTCCTCTCCGAGCTGCTCTGGTCTGTGTTGATGATGATTGCTGTCACCTCAACTTAGGACACATTTTAGGAGGATGTTTGGTGTTTCAGGGGCAGCTGGTGGGCTCTAACCCCCTCTTTGCTGTTCACAGCCAGAGGACGCACCCTACAGCTTCAGTTCCCAGCCCTCAGGYCATCCCACCCTATGCTTAATCCATCCCATGCCCAAGCAGCCACCTCCCTGCTTTCTTTTAGGGGTGAAACAAGTGTTTAAGTGTTTCCCAGACTCCTGCTGGTCTACCCCCTCTTAGCTCCTGAGGAAACAACCATTAACCCTCATGTTTTTCCCACCCATCTCAAACCCAGCTCCTGAGCAGGACTCACTTYGGACAGCAGGTCTTGGTGTTCCTCCCAGCCTCAGCTCAACACTCCATGGTCTGTTCTACCTCACTGTGAAGAATAACTTCCCCTCAGGCTAATGGTCCCCTGGTCAGGTCCCAGCACACCCTGCCATGTCCTACAGAGCACCCTAATGGTGCTGTGACCCTGGAGCTAGTGCCCTACAGTCCCCTCCTGGCCCCCAGGGAAGGGCACAGTGATGCTGCATTGCCCTCAGTCCTTGTCTCAGCTGTATGACACCCTGGCTATGCGCCCCTCCAAAATATTTCAATGGATACCAAAGTCCTTGAAGGATCTSTGACAGCTCAGCCATACCCTGGCACACACAGCCCCATCTGGAAATCTACAGCTCAGCAATGTGCCTTTCATACCCACAGATCCAGCTTTTCCCAGTCCCTCATTAGCAGTGTAATCAGAGAAACCTGCACATTAGTTACAGGGTTGGCCCAAGGAACCCTCTTGACCTTGGAGGGCAGGTGAGGACACAATGGAGCTCAGGGAGCCTTCTCAGCACTTCCCCTGCACAGTGCCCCTGTCCCAAGTGGGTTCATCGCACCAGTGGTGTCCCTGCAGGCTGGGAGGTGCCCCCAGCTCCCCGCTGTGCCCCCTCTCCACAGTGGGGGGAGGCTGGAGGGCACAGAGCTGCCGGCTCAGCTGGCTGGGAGGAGCAGGACAGCTGGGAGAGCTTTGGGGCAGGCCTGTCATGGAATATGTGTGACCTTTGGAGGTGTAAGCCAATATAGAGGGGTGCCATGGCAAGCACTCTGGCCCCTCCATTACGTGGCAGCCTTCCATTTTGTCTCCCTTCCCGTCGGCTCTCTTCACTGCAGTGTAATCCAAGGAGTCCCTCTGCTCCCCACAACATGTGAAAACTCCCGTGGAGTCGAGTGTCACCTGTCCTGTGGGAGCTGTGGCTGTCACCATCAATTCTGACTTGTCAGGGTGCATCTCAGAAAGATCCCACGCACCCTCTGCTTAAGCCTGGCAGATGCCATTTCCTTCTCCCTGCCTGCCACCCTTCTGCCTCTCCGCTCTGCCATCCCACGTGGATGCAGACACGCTCTGGCTGGGTCCAGCTCTGCTTGGAGGGACTATCCCTAGCTGAGGGTGAGGGATTCTCCCAATCCAGCCATGGGAAGCTTGCTGTGAGGTCATGCCAGGTTGTGGTGCATGCTGGTGACCCTAATTACTGACACATGCTAATTAGCAAGTGTCCCTGTGTAGGAAATGACCTCCCAGATGCCATCACCAGCCACAGGTGACCCCACCACGGCCGTTGTCAGGACACTTGCTGGGTTGGTGGCTGTCTAACCCTGGCTTGTTGGGCTCTGTGTGCTCAGTGGGCGATGCCAGGAAAGGCAACAACCCCACAGAGCAGAGGTTGGGGTGCAGGGCCCCTGAGCCACATCCCCACCTTGCACGGCAGACAGGGGTTCAGTGAGTGTCCTGGGAGGTGCAGGTCACTCCCAGGCTGTAACTCCTTGTCTCCTGCGGGGAATGTGGCTGTCAGTTCCCTCCTTGTCCTGGGCCACACCCAGGCTGTGGCATCCCTCCTTGGACTCACGGTTCCTTTTCTCTCTCCCCGTGTCCCTCGCTAACAGCTTACCCCGGACGCACCCTGGGCTCCTCGGCCACAGGTTGGTATCGCTGCCTGCTCCCTGCATGCTGCCGGCGCTGCMTGCGCTCTGAGCTGCCCTCTGGCTTTCCCGGGCACTGTCCCAGCACAGCCGCGCTTCCCAGGCACGGAGCAGCCCCGGTACCCACCATCCTCACTGGGACACTGTCCCCAGCCCTTCCAGAGCCCGCACTTGTCCCGGTCTGACCTCGTGCGTCCCGACAGCCCATCCTTCCTGCAACYCCCACCTCGCCAAGGCTCTGACACCTTTCCCTCATGGTTTAAGACTGAGAGGTAGCATATTCTCTGGCCAGGGTTTAAAGGCATTTCTGGTAGTCTTGAGTGGCTGAGGGAGCTAGGAGGACTCAGTCTGGAGAAAAAGAGGCTCAGGGGGGACCTTCTCACTCTCAGCTCCCTGACAGAAAGGTGGAGCCAGGTGGGAGTCAAGCTCTGCCCCCAGGGAACAAGTGACAGGACAAGAARAAAGGCCTCAAGTTTTACCTGAGAAAGTTTGGATTGGATATTGGAAAAATTTCTTCAGAGAAAGTTTGTCAGGTCCTGGGACAGCTGCCCATGCAAGTGTTGGGATCCCCAACAGCAGGGGGATTTTAAAGCCATGTGGATATGGGTTAGTGGTGTCCCTGGCAGTGCTGGGGGAGCATGTAGAATTGGTGATCTTAGGGGGCTTTTCCAACCTAAACTATTCCATGATTGTAGGTGCTGGATGTGTAGGTTGATTTCTCACCCACAGCATGAACTGGGGGAGCCCAGCTGATAGCCCATCCTACAGAGGGGACCTCTTCCCACTCTTCACTCTCCTACATGCAGAAACTTTCSTGAATGTCCACCCTTGATCCCACAGCAGCTGTCCCAGTAACACGGGCTGGCCCCTGCCCAGCAGCCTCAGCCCCCTCAGAAGCCCAAGCTGGCTCCTCTCCCTGCCTATCCTGCTCAGGGTGTGCTGCCAAGTCCCCCCAGAGGATCAGGAGATAGGAGACAGTCCAAGAAATGCCAGCCAACACCCAGCCCTTCCCTGGGCCTGGTGCTCAGCCACGGGAACAATGTTCCTGCAGTGAAATCCCATTTTCCATGTCTCTCCTGTCCTGCCCCACGGCCACGCTGCCMGACCCTGCCAAACCAGGCTCCTTTGGACACAGCCATGGCAGAGCCCTGCCGGTGCCTGGAGAGCCCTGGCTCCCTGCCGTGCCGGCGTGCCAGCAGTGGGGAGGGCTGTGGGTATTTATAGCATATTCCGATAGCTGTCTTATCTCATCTYGGGTTCAGGCGCTCGCACACGTGCTGCCGGGCTGGGTGCAGGCACGCGGGGGGCACATGGGGGAGGCACAGGCCATCTGCAACCATGTGGGCTCATGCCTCCATCTGTGGGCACACGTGTCCTGAGGACACTCATGGATTTGGAAGCTTTGGGAGCGAGGCAGCCAGCCCTTCAAGGGCTGCTGGTGTGTGCCACGGGCACAGGGGTAGGACGGCAGCGTGGGTGATGGTGGGAGTGTCCCCAGGTGTTCCAGCCTTCCTGGGTGGCTTGAGGATGGAGGAGACCTTGGTGCCTGTGGCTCAGCTGGAAGCAGGAGAGGAAGGAGGTTGTGCCAGGTCCTCTGCTTAGCCCAGCACCCTGGGGACAGACTTGCACTTGGGGGAGAGGCCACCCCAGGCACACCTGCTGGGCTTGAGGACAAGGGGGGACAAGGCCCTGCCCAGAATTAATCATAGAATCATGGAATGATTTGGGTTGYAAAAGGACCTTAATGCCCATCCAGCTCCATCCCCTGCCATGGGCAGGGACACCTTCCACTATTCCAGGCTGCTCCAAACCCCGTCCAGCCTGGCCTTTGGCAGAGAGATGAGAGGGGAGATCCAGGGGCAACCACATCTTCTCTGGGCAACCTGTGCCAGGACCTCACCACCCTCAAAAGGAAGAATCTCTCCCTAAATCCCCTCTAACCCGCCCTCTCTCAGAGTGAGGCCATTCCCCTGTGTCATATCACTCCAGACCCTCATCCAAAGTTCCTCTCCAGCTCTCCTGGATCTGCTTTAGTCACTGGAAGGGGCTCTAAGTTCTTCCCAGAACCATCTCTTCTCCACCCCAGAGCAGCAGTACTTCCAACAAAGGGCAGCATGGCATTGCCACATGGAAAAACCTCCCTTGAAASCCAATGCTCTAGGAAAGAAAATTATTTGGACATTCAAACTGCTCCTATGCCCAGAGCTGAGCAGCCCAAGCAGACCCAGGCTCTGCGAGGGATGAGCGTGAGGCTCGTCTGAGCTTGAGCTGGGAACGAGCAGCCACAGGGTGGCTGGAGAGAGCCGCTGTGAGRAAGCTGCGGCCATCCCCGCCCGGCCGCCGGCGAGTCCCGGCTCTTTTCTGCTGTCCTGACCATCAAGGTGACCCAAATTGCTGCTCACAGACATGGCACAGGGACATAGCAGGGACAGATGCCAGGCCAGCACCCTCTCGGGTGGGAGATGCTCCCTCTGTCCCTCTGGGCAGCAGCAGCAGAATCCATACATGGCTTCACATCCTTGGAGCTGCTGCACTTTCTGCAGAGCTGCAAGTGCCTGGCACTGCCCACACCATCCATGGGGGCAGAGAGGGGCTGGAGGGGCTGTGGGTGACCAGGCAGGGGGGCTGCCCACCTTGCTGCCCACCTTGGCTCCACAGGGGAGAGGAGGGGATGTGCAGCAGAGCTGGAGCTCACAGGTGCCTGCATTCACACAGCCACACCTGGCCAGGGATGTGTTATGAAAGAGCACACAGGGACCCACCCCAAACCTCTGGCACAAGATCACAGGGATAATGGTAATAATAACAACCATCCTAACCTAATTAAAGCTGGCAAGAGAGCAGAGCAGCGGCGACAGTGCGGCAGAGGAATGATTAATAATGAGAGTCCAAGGTTTCAACACTTGTTTGGTCCTATGTGAGAAGACAAGGCTGGATTCCCGCAACTGCCAGGCAGGGAGTGGGGTGCGGGAAGAGCCATCCATGCCCTGCTTTGTGAAGGAGGGCTGAGCTGTATGGATGCAGTAGTGCCCCATGGAGAGATGTCCCCAGCCCATTCCCTTYCCCAGAGGTGTCATGGTGACCCTGTGATGCGCAGATGCAGCAGGAGGAGATTGGAATGCTCCCTCCATGCCCCTACCCAGGGCATGGCCAGATGGGTTCAGTGTGGAGCTGCCATGCAGTGGCCCTCCGACACCCTTGGGGCAGGAGCTTAGCACCAGGGCACTTTGTGGCTTCCCCCATCTTGGAGATGGATCCCTGGCTTGCTGGAAAGCTGCTGGCTCCTGCGTGGGTGGCAGCCATGGAGCACCAGGGACTCTCAGCTACCTCAGGGTAAAACAGCTCTGCCTTAGGCACAAGGATGAAGGTGCTGAGGGCAGCACAGCTTGGCCAGGGCATCTCCTTGCCTTGGGCCATGGGAGAAGGCTCAACTCCAGCTGAGACAGCAGCAACCAGCTCCTCTGGTGTCATCCATCCCCAGGCTGAACTCCTGCTGGCAACAATGGGATGCACCCTCTTCCACCTTGAGCACAGTTGGTTTCCACCAGCGGGAACTCACTCAGTTTTACTTTCATTCTCCTGTTTTGGACTCCATGCTCCTGTTTTGGACTTGAGCTGACTCGCAGGCTCCTGTGTCCTGGGAACAGAATGAGGGATGGCACGGGTCCTGGGCTCCTCTGGCTCCAGCAGCTGCCTACCTGGTGTCCTGGGGGCTGGGGTTCGAGCAGTGTGGACAGAGGCTGATTGCATGAGTCCTGTTTGAGCAGGGATTGCTCCTGTCCAGRGATCTCTGTGCTCCAGGACTGATGGCATGGCACAGGGACAAGTCACCATCCTCATGGAGGAAACTGTGACTTGAAGAATGTGAGATGCAGACAACAGTCCACCCTCCTCTTGCCTTTCCCCAAGCCCAAAAAGGGACTGTTTGTCCTCCCCACACGCAGCTGGAGGCTCACACCCAGGCAGTGACCTCCTGCTCTGTCAGGGAGGCATGGTGGAAAGGCGCTCATGGAAGCTGGCACGAGGCTCGCACCGCGCTTACCAAGCCCCGCGCCGCAGCGCTGCTCCCGAATCCACGGCAGCTCCCGAATCCACGGCAGCTCCCGAATCCACGGCAGCTCCCTCTGCACGAGGCATCGGCCCGGCTGTGGCATGGCCTCCTCCTTGGCACGACCCGTGCTTTGCGGCGGCTGCCTTCAAACAACACCCCCACTCCGCAGCCAGCCCCAAATTCACCCGGCTTAAACCACAACCAAACCGAGACAAGGCTGAAAAGACCTTCCAGTCCTCCGCAGTCTATGAAGGGGTAACGCTCGGAGCAGGTCAGGCAGCGAGGTGGGCTGTGCCGCAGAGCACGGGGCCGTCCCGCTCCCGCGGCCGGCGGGCGCTGCCTTGGCTGGCGAATGGCTGGTGGCCCCCGAGGGGCGGCTGTTTCCCCGGCAGCATCACCGCGCCGCTCAGATGGGATGCTCATTACAGCCGGGAGTTAATCGCATGGCGGCGACGGCTATTGTTCCTTCACTTCCTCTTGTTATTTCCCCTCTCCGCAGATGGGGAGATCACTTCCAAGCCTATGGTGCTATTCCTGGGACCGTGGAGTGTCGGCAAATCCTCCATGATAAACTACCTCCTGGGGCTGGACAACACTCCGTATCAGCTGTACACAGGTACCACACTCACTGCTTTGCCAAGGGGGTGTCAGCACCTGCATTTCCACCTCCCTGCAGTCAGCAATCCCTGGCTGTGTATCTTTGATCCCTTGTTACAGAAGGGATGTTGGCATCTGCTTCGTGCCACCTGGCTGTGGTGCCATCTGGAGGGAGAGGTTCCCCATCACAGCCTATCCCCCCTTCCAGGGGTGGAGGAGGGCATCTCTTCCTCAACATCCTCATCCGGCAACGCAGCTCTCACAGCTCCCAATCTCAACCCTGAGAGCAGCACTCATGTCACGGGGTCAACTCACCTTTCCCTTCTCCCCATCCCTCTTCATGTGCATYCAGCTAATTCACCCTCCCAGGAGAAAAGCCATTCACCTTCCCTCCTCCCTGGTCCCATGGATGTCATCTCACTGAGGGCAGATGAGGGCAGATGTCCAGCTTAGCGCTGTGATAATGAGGTGGTTCTCCAGGACACCTTGGGCAGTCAGGCCACTTCTAGAGCAACCAGTCCCCACAGAAAACAGCGCCACTGGCAATTTCCCAATAAGTTTGGGCAGGAATTTCATGCTGCTTGCCTTGCCCCTTCATCTCTTTAGAAGYGCGCGATGCTCCCAATGCTCCCAGTCTCAGGCCAGCCCTGTTGTGTCCATAGCCTGGCATGGATTTCACGCCTCTGCTGCTCCTCTCGTTGCTGCGCAGGAGCTGAACCCACCACCTCTGAGTTCACTGTCATCATGCACGGCCCCAAGCTGAAGACCATCGAGGGCATTGTGATGGCTGCTGACAGCGCCCGCTCCTTCTCRCCCCTGGAGAAGTTTGGGCAGAACTTCTTGGAGAAGCTGATAGGGATTGAAGTGCCCCACAAACTGCTGGAGCGAGTCACCTTCGTGGACACGCCAGGCATCATTGAAAACCGGAAGCAGCAAGAAAGAGGTAGGGGTTCACTGGGTTCATCTAAGGGATCCCAGAAAATGTGCTGTGATGATCTGAGGTGACAAAGGTGGCTGAAGTACAACAAAGAGTCCTGAGACACAACACAGGCCACCCAGGACAGTGGTGGAGTCACCACCCCTTGGGGGATTAAACAGATGTGAGGATGTGGGGACATGGTTTACTGGTGGCCACGGCAGTGCTGGGGTAATGGTTGGACTCAGTGATCTTAGAGGACTCTTTGAACCATAATGATTCTCTGATCCTGTGATTCGATATCTGCCCACAGCAACAACAGGAGCCTATGGCTAGCAGCAGGGAGGAGGAAGGTCTGGAGATGAGGGTGAGACAGACAGGCAGTCACAGGTCCAAACACCCAGAGATGGCCTTCCATGCCRAAAAGCTCTAAAGTGTATTCGGCATGTGAGAAAGAGGTTCTGGGCTACAAGGGAAGTCCGCTGTGCCTCACATCCCATGCAAYCCAAATGGGGATTGAGGCACAGCCAACTTGGTTTATCAATCCCTTGCTGAAGGGACTCATCCTGCATTGGATTTCTCTCTYTCCTCTCCTCAAGGTTACCCGTTCAACGATGTGTGCCAGTGGTTCATTGACAGAGCTGAYCTCATCTTCGTTGTCTTTGACCCCACGAAGCTGGATGTGGGCTTGGAGCTGGAGATGCTGTTCCGCCAGCTGAAGGGCCGCGAGTCTCAGATCCGAATCATCCTGAACAAAGCTGACAGCCTGGCTACCCAGGAGCTGATGAGAGTCTATGGCGCCTTGTTCTGGAGCTTGGCTCCTCTCATCAACGTCACGGAGCCACCTCGGGTGTACGTTAGCTCCTTCTGGCCCCACGACTACAACCCGGAAACCCACAGAGACCTGTTCCTCAAAGAAGAGATATCGCTYCTGGAAGATCTCAACCAGGTGATTGAGAACAGGATGGAAAACAAGATTGCCTTCATCCGTCAGCATGCCATCCGGGTGCGCATCCACGCCCTCCTGGTCGATCGCTATCTWCAGACCTACAAAGACAAAATGACCTTCTTTAGCGATGGAGAACTGGTGTTCAGGGACATTGTGGAAGATCCTGACAGGTTCTATATCTTTAAATCCATTCTGGCAAAGACCAATGTCAGCAAATTTGACCTCCCTAACCGCGAGGCTTACAAGGACTTCTTTGGCATCAACCCCATCACCAGTTTTAAGCTGCTGTCTCAGCAGTGTTCCTACATGGGAGGGTGTTTCCTAGACAAGATAGAGAAGGCCATCACCCGTGAGCTTCCCGATCTCTTGGGAAGCATCGGCTTGGGGAAGAAGCCCAATGTCCTCTCCTGCGACGTCACTGGCTGTGGCGAAACCCCAAAGAATCGCTACAGGAAACCCTAAGGTGATGCACAACCCAACCGTCCACATGTTCCTACTGGTGAATGAGCTTATGTCTTATCTGTCCAAGAAGCCATGGTTTGTTAACCCTTTGAGTGCCGTGCTGGCAAAGGCTACCGTACGATGAGGACTTTGAGTCATTGACATCGATGGCAGGGGAAGATGGGTGGGCATAAGAAAGAGAATAAAAACTGTGAATTCTTGACATTTTATCTTTGTTCTTTCGAGTAGAAGGCAATGTTTAAGCTGCAAGTATGAGCAATGCACGGGCAGGACTGTAGCTGCTTTTCCACTGGTGCCAAGAGTGCATGAAGAGGAATTTCAGCCTCTGCATCCCCGAAGCCACGAGGGAGCAAAAACAAGGGCACGGCGTGAGAGCACAGGGGAGAGCAGTGACACACTAACCCAGGCATCACTGGGAGCACTGGTTGAGGAAAGAGAAGCAGTGTCCCAGCTGTTGTTTTCAGGCACAAACCTGCTACAAATCTCAGCAAATATTGATCTTGTTTTTCTTTCCAAGACTTCTAGGTCACCTGGTGAGTTCTGCTTTTACTTAACAGCTCAGTTGATCTTCTGCAGCCTTCATGTGGGTGTTTGACTTAAGAAGGAGTGTTTGCAGGGGCGTTTGTAACTCCAGACAGGCAGCTGTGATGGGATTTGCAAGTCTATGTCAGAGGAAGAAACAGGATGGAAAGAAGCAGCCAGCACTGGCTGAGCGGTGCTGGAGGAGGAGGGCCAGCACTCCAAATCAGATGGTCCCACAAGGACATGTGAGCAGGGTTTCCTTCCCCTGGACCAGCACAGAAGAAGGCACTTCACGCCTACGTGTGTCACTAACCTCAAAACCCACACCGGCAAGTCTTGTCTGTGGACCAGCAGGGCTCTAAGGGTGAGGGTTTGGCAGTTTGCCTTTGTTCAAGTCCATGTTGCTCTTTTCTCAGCCAGCCCTCCGTGTTTTCRCGTTCTGTGGAGGGAGGCAGGAAGCGGGGTCATTGGCTATGAAGTTAAAAAGGTCACATCCTTATGCTCACCTGCTGATCTGTCCTCCCCAGGACAGTCCAGGCAGGTTTCTGGGGCCTGCTTTCCAAACTCCTCCCTTTTTAGCCATTTGTTGGCTCATCTCTGAGCATCGGTGCTCAGTCCTGAAGGAGTATTGTTTTGGAAGCACCCGAGTAGGGTGAGGTTCCCCATGGACAGCTGACCTTGAAACCTGGCCCTCATGGAGAGCATGACTGTCTGCCAAACAGGAGATAGATGCTGTCCTGGATGGAGACTGGCACTTTTCACCAAGGACCTGCTGAAAGTCCGTTGTCCTTCCTCCTGCCGAACACCCACAAGTGCTGCTCTCCAAGAAACCTCTGAAGAAAAGGGACTTATATTTGACAGAAGCAAGAGTACATGAAGGTGCTGGCTGAGGCAAAAAAAAGGCTAAAGGAATGAAAGAGGGAAAGAGAGAGTTGGGAACGGGAGGCTGTGTTRTGATGAGGAGGGTGTGAAGGGCAGTGGTCCATGTCTGCATGTGTGCACCAGGATGTGAGCTATGGCAGGAGGCCTGGGAGAGCTCCACATCCCGCAGGTGCTGCAAAGAAGAGGTCCCCTTGAGTCCAGGTGAGTTTAGGGGGATGCGGCCCCATGGACTTGAATGGTCCTGGCCTCTGATTCAAGGTAGGATGTTACATTTGAACTAATGAAGCTGAGACCCAAATCTACATCCAAGCATGGTGCAGGACATGGCTCAGGAAGAGGGATTTTGCCTACAGTGCCGAGGCAGCAGAGGTGCAAGGGAAGGTAAGCAGTGTCAGAGAGAGCAGCAATCAGAGCAGTGTGGAGAGAAGGGATGTGCTTTTAAGTACTGTGAGGTCTCAAACCTGCCCCAGTGCTGCTGCTTCTCTGCTGCCAGTCCTTCTTCCTTGTCCATGATCCTGCTGCTCATCAGTTTCCCTCTCCATTTCTCATTCACTCTCTTCCATCGCATGGGTCTGCATGCRTTTTCAAGAGCTAATGGAATAGAAGCACCAACAGAAACAGGCTGATGCTGTCACTGTTCCTGCTGTCACACCGTGTGTCACTGTCACAGAAAACAAAGGCCTTTAAACATTTTTATTTGCAAGCACTGTATTGCACCCTCTCTTTCTTTGTTCCTCTGTCCCCCTAAAGCCTGTGGGGTACCCAGGGCAAGGCCCCTGTCCTACAGGAAGTATTGTCCTTGAAGGCACTGTTACTCTGCTCTCAGGCCGCTCCCATCATTCTCCCCATCCTTTCTCTGGCTTCCTTTTACCTTGCTTGATTTTTCAGCCTTCATTGCCTCCTCTCCTCCCTTCCTCTGCCCTGTAGCACTTGCTCAGTGCAAAGCCCTGATGCCTATGTCCCGGATGGGACTCTCCTGTGACAACCAAACCCCTTYTGCTCCCGGATACGGTTCATTTGGGTTCGCTTTCCAAAGCCATGGCATTGGTGGTCTGTTTCCTGCTCCCTGTGACACACACTAACCTGGCTCCGTGCTGGCTCAGGGCGATGCCACCACTGAGATGCTTCCTCTCCCATGGATTGAAGTGGCTGTCAGTCCCAAGAGGACTGCAGTTCCCAGCCCAGCCATCACTGAGTTTTCTCAGGAGACCTCTGGGAATCTGGGAATGGAAAAATGGAGAACAGGGAGACATTTTCATTCTGCTGAGAAATCCCAACCTCCCCAGCATTCGGGGGGTGAACATGTTTCCCAAGAGCTTMGTGGGAGGGAGGGAGCTGGGACACAGGCCCTGTAGATGCCCGTGATCATGTGCATTGAGATAAAACTGTCAGCTTGAACATCAGCCTGTCTAATAAAACCTGGTATTTTCCAAACACACTCCCTGGAGACATTTGTTTTGTTTTCTCCTGCTGGTGTGGGAGAGAGTGCTAGGACTGGGGTGGCTGAGGGGGTGCAGCTGCAGGGAGCAAGGCAGGAACTCCCATGTCTTTCCCTGCATCTCAGCCTCGTCTCCGTCTCTTGCATGGGACCTGCTGGCTGTGCCTGAGTCATTTGTTTGCTTTTCCAATCTGTCTCCCGGTGCCATAGGCCCAACAGGCAAAGTGAACTTCAACTACTTTGTTTTGTGGGACAGATCCCTACTCCCACCTGCCTCAGCAGATGCTGTTTGGGGACCATGATAGAAGACAGGGCTCAGGGACCATGAAGGGGAACCCAGGCTTGACAATCACAGCAGAGGGCAGGGGGCTTGGGGATCGTGGAGCAAGGCAGGGATTTGAGGAGCTTGGAGGAGAGTGGGGACTCCAGGACCTTGGAGGAGGACAGGGGTGTTGGGATCCCAGCAGAGGGCAGGGGGTCAAAGACCATGGAGGACAAAAGGGGGTTTGTCCTCCTCCATGGAAGAGGGAAGAGGGTTGGGGACCACAGAGGATGACCAAGGGGTTGGGGACTATGGAGAATGACAAGACTACCAGGGAGGAGGGCTGGGATTTGGGGACCATGGAGGAGGACAGGGTGGGGGACCACAGTGAACAGCAGGGGCTCTCAACAACCACCCAGCAAGGGGCGGATGGAGGCACCCTCCCACTGGCAACTGGGGCTCATGCAAACTGCTCATTATAACCCTATTCCTGGCCTGTCTGCCTGTCTTTCTTTCCAACTATCTGTCTCACTCACTAATCAAAGAAGATTGTTCCAAGAAAGCTGGAAGAAGAGAAGGAATGTCTCACTTGGCTGTGGCTTCCTTTGGAAAGTCTGGAAAAACTGTGGCATCTCGACGTGCGTGAAGGTCTGCCTGGCGAGAAACACATTTTCCTTCCAAAGCTGCTGTAAAGATGTGAATCATGAGCCGGTAACGCTCCTGGCAGTATGAACCCCGATTCCACTGAGACRTAGTGCTGGCAGCGGCTCCGCTGTATCTCTTGGACGGAAAAGACAAACATTTATCATAGTGACATTGCTGGGGAAGAGCTGCCGGTGCTGCYGAGAGCCTGGTGGCGGCCGGATCCTGCCAGCGCCCAGGGTGCTCCCACCAAGATTTCCGAAGGTCTCCTGAAGCTCCTCAAACAGCAGCCAAGGGCTTTGCAGTCCCTTTTGGTTGTCCTCCACTACCTCAGCCCCTCGGCAGCACCTCTGCATTGCAGGGATGAAAATAGCCCATTTCTAATACTGAGAAAGAACAAAAGCCTTCGTAAAGGTCTGCTGGGAGCCAGGGGGAGCCCTGGTGCTCTGGTTGCTGCACAGTGGAGATCCCCCTATGCCACCATCCCCAAACAGTCTGTTTTTGCTGGCCCCACGCATCCAATGCTGAGGCCAAACTCCCCCCAAACCATGCTCCCAAAATTTCCTGTGCTGCAATTGCAAGACCCCAGTGGCCATGATATGTTTATGAAGCCACTCACTCCCTGCCCCGGTGGTCCCGAAAATCTGCCCACCCAGTTCATGGCAGAGCTGGGGCTGGCAGCAGATGCCTGACAGGCTCAAGCTGCCATTTACAGCTCCTGGAGCAAACAAAATATCCCTTCCATGCAAGTCCCTCCTTTTTGAGATTGTAGAACTTTGTGCAGCCCYAAGAGCACACTGGCTTGCACAGACCCCAGCCCTGTGGTGTCCCTCTCAGGACAGGGGCTGGGCTCAGGCTCCATCACCACTTCCCTGCTTGGAGGTGGATGAGTTTTGGCAATTTGTGTCTGTGAATAACTCCAAAATGCCCATGATGTGCRTGTGCAGGGCACTGAACCAGGAAGGCAAGTGAAGCTGTGTCCTGAAGAATGCGCAGGGGCTTTGGGAGTACTTCCCTCACTGGATACCAATGGAATCATGGTTTGGAGAAGCCATCTAAGATCATCAAATTCAACTGTTAATCCCGAACTGCCAAGGCCACCACTAAACCATGTCCCCAAGTACCACATGATAAATCTCCATGGGAGGAGGATTTGCAGGCTGCAGAGGGGCTTGGACCCAGAACTTGGGTTTGCATGTCACATCAGTGCTTGCTGGAGGAGATAGGGTGAAGGACGGGGAGGGAGCCTGCTTCTGGAGCTGTCTGCCTTGGCAAGAGGAATGTCCCAAAGGATTGTCTGCTTGAGGGAGATGGGAAAAGCCTGGATATTGCCCCAGGGGACCACCATTTGCTTTAGTACACCTGGGTCACATTCAGGGCAAGCATCGGAGGAGTCAGGACAGCCTGGAGCCCTGGGAAGAGGATTTTCACTCCATAAGGTGTCCAGCAAATGTTACTCCTGAAAATGGGGGGGATGGGGGGTGGTGGATGGTGGGCCACGGCCTAGGGGTCCGTCAAAGCAAAGCAGAGGTGAGAGGGATGGCAGGGTACTCACATGCTGCTGTCCCTGGCTAGGAGCTGCTGCAGCCCAGGCAGAACCTCAGTGCTGCATCACAGTGAACTCCCAGCAGTTATTCTATGCCCAGCACAGGTTTGCACATTCGGCTGCTCCTTCTCTAATGTGTTCATTAGTGGTCATTTAATTACAGGATGCAAACGAGTTGTTCCAAAATACTCATGTACCTGTGCAAAACATGCAATGAGCAATTGTTGCTGCTAATGAGAGAGGGAGTCAGGGTATCAACAACAGGAGGAAACCATCAGCATCCCGGGAAACCTGCGATCCACCCTAACCCACACGGACTGCTCTGACCTGGAATTACCCCAGCCACCTTTTGGGGCAGAAAGAGGGAAAATGGAATGCAGGTGAGATGGTGGCAAGGGGCCAATTCCTACCCACAGAGACATGAGGTGTCCAAAACCACCTGTATTCCCATCAAAGGCTGTTGGAGGGGATGGGGGGGGGGCGGGTGGTGCTGCTGCCACTTCAGCTCYAGATCAAAATTCAGCAGCCCAGAGAAGGCTCTTTGGTCCTTGTGACTTTCCATTGCCATTGGTCTGGGCTTGGGAGTTGGTCGGGCTGAGCATGCAAACCAAGCCTCCCAGGGCAGGGAATGCTGCCGGCTGCTTCCCGGTAGCTGTGATTAACTGTTGTTAATATTAAATTCAGCACTTTTATGCAGGACGCAGAAGTGCTTAGGCAGAAGCCCAGCTCCTGCCCTACCTGTCATTAAAAAACATTGCAATTAAGYTCTAGTGGAAGGAAATACAAGTAAACGCATCCTCTCTAAGTGGCTTCAGCTTTCCACAGACATCTGCGTCCCCTGTTTCCTCTTCGGCTGGCCAAGCTGCTTCTGTTTTCCCTCTTCCCATGACCCGTACATTGCTTTTTCTCCTTAATCCTGCCCACAGCTCCCAATGGTGAGGGCYAGATCAGGGAGGAAAGGAGCTCCAGCTGCCTCTGACCCATTGCCACCAGTGGAAAGTTTGTGTGAGCTGCAGCTGCAGCCCCAGCCCTGGCCAAAATCAAGGCTGTGCTACGGGTACCTGCTCATCTAGTTGGATCCTGATGCTCTTTTGGCTCCTCTCCGTGGACAAAAATCTGAATGTTTCTACGAGAGGAAGGGGTGCTACTGTCCCAATATAAAGGCTTTAACAAATTATTTTCACTTTGCAGCATATCTGGATGGGATTTTCAGCAGCTGAGACCTGTTTCTGCTTAAGTCAATGGTGACAGACCTCAGCCAAATGCTCCAGAAGAGCCAGCCCAGCCTCCAACCCTGCAGAACTCAGCACAGCCTGAGCTCTATGGCAGAGCTGTGCCAACAAGCATAGTCATGTGACAAAGCTGAACAGACTGGGGGTTATTGCATCTCAGGATAGGGTTCTCCTATAGCATTGTCCYCCTGCTTTACTCCAGCTGAGGTTCTCCCCTAGAGAAGGATAAGGCAGGATGTCAAAGGGTGGGATATAGGGCTGGTGGTGATGGTCAGTCAGCCTGAGCCAGAAGACACCAAGAGGAGTCATGGTGGCAGGGGCTGAAAGAGGATCCTTTTCTGCCTCTCCCCAGTGACCAGTGGGACTGTGATGTGGCCAGAAGTTGTGGTTAAAATCCAGGGAATGCCAGGAGAGGCAGGTGGGAATGACAGCAATGTACAGCCAGGTCTGCAAGGTCATGGTGTGGCCAGAGTCCCCAACAGGTCCTTAAAGCTTGGGAAAAAGCAAAAAAAAAAAACATGATAAGACTTAGGGTGAGGGAGCTGGAGATAAAATGGGGCAGTGAGATAGAAATGAACTCTTTGTCAAGGATGATACCAATACCAGGAATAATACATTGAAAACACTGGACCTGGGGGGATAAAGATGGTGTGAAAAGTGTCCCGAGTGCTAAAGCTGGCTTTCCAGAGCCACAAAGAATGGTGGCAGAATCACAGAGGGTCAGGATGGATAAGAAAGGCAGAGGGGCACCAGGTGTGCCTAAATTTGGGCAGATCTGGGGCTCTGGCAGCCACACAGTCYGGCCAGCAGGAGGTCCGGGATGCAATGTGAGGATTGTGGGAATGCCCTGGGCTTCACTTGGTGCTGGGTGGCAAAGAGCAGTGACAACAGTGCCCATACCAGACTKTGGCTCTGGCCACATCCCCGAGCTCTGAGGAGGGAAAGGTTTTGCTGGGACCATGGTGCTGATGAACACAGGGCTTTTTCCCCATTGCTTGCAAACATYGTCATCACGTATATAAACACAAAATGCCAAAATGTGAGTCAGCCCAATGGCAGTTTGGCTCCTGCACCAACAGCTCGATAAACGGAGGAACCAAAGTTTGCAAAGGGGATGTATTCCTGTTTCGGAGGTTTCAACAAGTTGCTTCATGGCAAGTACAATATACTCCTAAGATATAAAAGAAAAAAATTATTAAAATTAAAAAAAAAACCTAGAAAACATTTTTTCCCAGTTAGTTGCTCCTTGTTGATGAGGGGAACCTTTCAGTCTCAGGGAGAGGTCAAACASAC